CTTCTTCCCCTTTTTCTTTTTAGGTGGATTGTCTGGTTGTTTTAAAGTGAGCTTGGGCTTGTATAAAGAATTGAAACTGGTGTTATGGTCCTACTGGGTTAGTAAAAGAGTGCTTGATTCATCTTAGATTCTGCCTGCGTGTAGTAAATAATGTTCTTTTTCTACTTATTCGCTGATGACATAGTTCTGATTGACGAGTCGCAGAGTGGGTTAACGAGAGACTGGAGGTTTGGAGACAGACCCTTGAGTCTAAGGGTTTCAAGTTGAGCAGGACGAAGACGGAATATCGTGAGTGCAAGTTCAGTGCTGAGCCGAGGGAAGCGGGCATGGACGTGAGGCTTGAATCGCAGGTCATTTCCAAGAGAGGCAGTTTCAAGTACCTTGGGTCGGTTATCCAAGGGGATGAGGAGATCGACGAGGATGTCACACACCATATAGGGGTGGGTGGATGAAATGGAGGTTAGCATCTGGAGTTCTGTGTGACAAGAAAGTGCTACCGCTACTCAAAAGGTAAGTTATAGAGCGGTGGTTAGACTGGCCATGTTATATGGGGTTGAGTGTCTGCCAGTTAAGAACTCATATATCCAGAAGATGAAAGTAGCAGAAATGAGGATGTTGAGGTGGATGTGCGGGCACACTAGGATGGATAAGATTAGGAATGAAGATATTCGGGAGAAGGTGGGGTGGCTCCCATGGATGACAAGATGCAGGAAGCGAGGCTCAGATGGTTCGGGCACGTATAGAGGAGAAGCCCGGATGCCTCCGTAAGGAGGTGCGAGCGGTTGGCTTTGGTGGGTACGAGGAGAGGTAGAGGGTGGCCTAAGAAGTATTAGGGAGAGGTGATCAGGCGGGATATGGCGAGACTTCAGATCTCCGAGGACATGGCGCTCGATAGGAAGTTGTGGAAGTCGAACATTAAGGTTGTAGGTTGGGAGGTAGTTGAGCATATTTCTAACTCGTACCAGTGTGAGGCTAGGCTGATAGGATTTAGTCTTAGACTGCTAGTGGTCAATGTTGTGTTCACACTACTCTTCCGTTTTCGAATTGTCGGGCCTTATTTACTGGTTATTATTTTTGCTTTCCATCTATTTACTGGTTCTTGTGATGTTGTTATTATTTCTATGGTTTTATTTGATGGTAATGTATATATTGTCTCTTTTCGTCTTCTTGAGCGGATGGTCTATCGGAAATAACCTCTCTACCTCCTTGAGATAAAGATAAGGTTTGCGTGCACACTACCCTCCCAAATCCCACTTGTGGGATTTTGCTGGGTCGTCGTCGTTGTTGTTTCTCTTCCTCTTTGGAGTAGTCCGTCAACTACCAATACTTTTTCTCCTTTTCTTTTGTAGTCTCTTCCATGGATCTCTTTAGAATTCAAAGCCATCCTAGAAATTATAAGCTCGTTGAATTAAGGGTGGGCATCGGTCGGTTCGGTTCGGTTGTGAATGTTATCGTTCGGCATATCGGGTTATTGGTTTATAAATATGCTAAACCGATAGCCGAACCGATAAGATATCGGGTATCGGTTAATCGGTTAATTGATCCTTATCGGATCGGTTATCGGTTTATCCGATAAGATAAAATATACCCAAAACTTTCATGTTTTTATTATAAAAATCGTGATCATAGTGTTAAGAGCAAGAAACTGAATTTTCGCTCTTAAGAAAACG